CTGTTGGGCAACTTGCAACCCCATATTATAGGCCTAAGCTATCTAGTTATTTCACAACAAACACTGGAACGTCTTATTATTGTCTACATTTTTAAAGACCGTTATTTTAATCATGGGATAGGGGTTTACGCCTTCATTAAAGTCCAACTGACTCCTATGATACATCCTATCCGATTTTGTAGTTGCATTTGCTGATCTCTAATAGTAGAAGTAACCAATGCTGCAAGAAATCTTTTAAAAACTGTTACACTTATGAATTGTTAGTTTATATGCATTGATATGATTTGGTCATTCTCAGGTGAACTACAGGGCTGCTGCTGCTGCTACTACTAGTACTTCTACTACCACCACTACCGGGGATAGCGCCAGGATTTGCCCTACAGGGGGGGGGGCGAGGTCCCCGACAAAGGGCCGATGTCCCAGATGAGAGCAAAGTGGGCGCGGTCGGGCGTCGCTGAAAATCTTTCGGAAGTGGTCCAGGGGGCGAAAAATATGACAATTTAGGGGTTTCAAAAGCTTATTTAATCGATTTTAGAGTCTACTATATATGTTGAAAATACATGACCATACCACTATTAGTATTTTGGTGGCTGTGGATTTTTCTCTGCATTGTTTGCTTTTTATGTTAACTGAACTTTGTTTTCCATTTTTTTGTAAACATTTTGTATTTCATTGTTTCTTTTTACCATTGATTTCTTTTGCTTTATAACAATCGGCGAGACTAGTGCTTGGTTTATGTTTGTGATGTATTGTAATAAGATCTGGAAAATAAATATGACAATTTAGGGGTTTCAAAAGCTTATTTAATCAATTTTAGAGTCTACTATATATGTTGAAAATACATATGACCATACCACTATTAGTACCGTATGTTTGGTGACTGTGGATTTTTCTCTGCGTTGTTTGCTTTTTATGTTAACTGAACTTTGTTTTCCATTTTTTTTTGTAAACATTTTGTATTTTATTGTTTCTGTGTACCAGTGATTTCTTTTTCTTTTTGACAATCGGCGAGAATAGTACTTGGTTTATGATTGTGATGTATTGTAATTAGATCTGGAAAATAAATTAATGAAAATATGAAAATGAAATTATGAAGATGATGAAGATGATAGTACTAATATTAATAATAATTGATAATAAAATTCAATTTATGAGAGACATCTAAGACTATTATAAGACTATTAACAATAATAATTTTATTAAGAAAGGTATTATTACGAGCATATTGTAATGGATACATACAGTTCAGATATTAGTAAAGTAAACCTCTATCATAAAAGCATTTAACATGGTATGATGAAAAGATTTTCTGGGCCAAAAATTCCAGGCAAAACGTTCATCGCATTTAAAGTTTCACAATGCATTAATATTACTCACTATTTAGTATTTGAGCGGCTCTTGTCACCCTTCTGTGAGTTCCCATCAGCCAAACTAGGTTGATTTTGCAGCTTATATTTAAAAGATTTGAACTCGTAGAATACCTAATTCTACTGTCGGAAATAAGCGAATGCGATAATGCTAATTTTTTGATCTTATCAATTCCTACTGGCCTAAAATCGTCAAAATTGCCCTCTTCAAAGACTCGTTCATACATCTATCGGTCAGACACTAAAATACAAAGTTCAATGAACTAAGCAAATATTATGTTCTAGATTTTGATAGACATGCCTTTTAGAATGCACGATGTGTCTGCCTTTTGGGTGTTACACTTGATTCGAATATCAATGTTCGTACGGTTAAATGATTAGTGTTAGGGGCCATATTGAAGCCAAAGAAAGGAATTCATTAAACAAAGCAAATCATATTGGCAGGAACATCAGGGACATTGTAAACGTGAATTCGTTAACATTTACCAAGTTTACTTATATCTATATGCCTATACTTTTTAAATAGACAGTGACACTGGGCCATAAGCAGGCTCAGACACAATTGATACAATGTATAGCTTATTTCAAAGTTTATCTTTCTTGAACGAATAAAGTTCAACTTTATTCGTTCAAGAAAGATGAACTTTGAAATAAGCTATACAACTTAGTTGTATTTACATTTTTCGGAGTGTTATCTTATAGCAATCCATCAGTTGAGATACAAAATCTTTCGATGCCCATACACACACACACCCATATATTATATAAGTTCTATTTCTGGCTGTTTACTTACGTTTACTTTTTAGCTGCTGCTTATCATTTTTGTATCTCTACTGAGATCCAGCCATTGTTTCCCACAGCATTGTCTGTCTCTTATACACATCTAGATGTGTATAAGAGACAGATATATATACGCATTCAGCAATGTACAACGCGAGGTGACGTAAATTTTGCTGTTCATTTAGTTACCCTGGTTTTTAAAAGTCAGTGACACGATGGAAATGCAGGTGGCTTGACTCATCTTGTAATTCTTTATTGACTGATGATGGTAGAGGTCAATTCATGTTTATATATTTCATGGTTGACATTTTATCAGTCAATAGAATTTATATATATAATTTGTGTAACCTTTAAATCACCAGTTTAAGAGGGAAATGCGTGAACATAATAACGACGTACATTTAGATTTTAATTCAAGTTCAAGGTATCTACTTGTAACGGTATTTTTTTAAGGGTGAACATACTTTTTATATTCCTAGCTAATAACAGACCACACGAATCAACATTCTCTTCGGGTCGATGGATTTTAAAGCAGACGTGAATATAGTTGCACTTATTTATATTAAACATATTATTGGAATATTATGAATCTATGAATAGTAAGCCTATCATTTTCATAGTTCTGGCCCTGTACTGTACGTAATTTTTTACTTTATAATGTAAATAAACATTTAACCTGAATTTATGTATTGTGTTGTCTTGACATTCGACATAATCTCGCGCACTTCGAAATTACGACAAAGCTCATTCACGTTTAACACCTTAATTTCAAGTAAATTTACGCGTACTCATAAATATCGCTTCTTCAATAATATGTTTGTATACCGGTATTTACTGTTTCTCGGCTTTTACCGATTGTGCCCGTTTTGTTTGCTCATTTCGAATTTCACAACTAGATACATTCTATATAAAGGCCTATATAAGCTATATAATACGGTACCAAATGTAGATTATTTTAGTGAGTGTTGCTCTAAAATAGGTCCATTTTAAATCTGTTGTTTTGTAATATTTTTTTTATCTTTCATCTAATTACCACACAAACAGAGATGCATTACCTATTTCGTATATAATTTGAATCTATAGATTTTTAGTTGGCTAACAATCAATTACTATCGTTGTATAAATCGGTAAATTAGCGGAAATTGAATTGTTTCGTTGTGTTTTGAATAACTTCAGATAGAGTCCATGAAGCAACAATTCATATTTGTTTGGATAATCATCCGTCATTAAAAATACATTCGCTTGTAACACTTATATGACAGTGGTATATAACCTACACGGACTGAATGATTAATTGAATTAGTTGGTTGCCAAAATATTATAAAATTGAACCTTTTTTTTTATTGTATATGGTTCAAGACCACCTTTATTTCCATTAACATCTTTTATAAAAAATAAAGAAACTTTAAGTAAGCTCTATTCACATTCATCCTCCTAAAATGAGCTTGCTATCATCTATTGATGGTGACAACGTCCTACGTGCGCTCATTGATCTTACCAAATGCACTGTGCGCGTTATGGTGGTAAAACGTTTCAGCAAGGCTTTCGTGAAGACTTCAGAACACATTACCATGAAATTAAGTTGTGAATAATGAGAGATTCGACCGTAGCTGATTGAATCAGTCGGCGGAAGGAATTCCATATTGCAGTGGGTTTATCTCAAAAATACAACCAGGGCAAGTATACATTTTCCATAAGTTCATCTTTCTAGGCTAGCCGTCATGAGACGTCTCGTTGTGGTAGAATGAGCCCTGGCAATCGCTTCACAATGTGACATTTTCTAGGTCTCATACTAAAAAGTCGAATATACGTTTCGCATGTTTTATATTTAGATCTGGCGACTTCATAAGGAATCATTGTTTTCATCGATTATAGGTTATACAACGTATTGACACATTCTGAAAACGAAAGCAATTCCGAGAACTGAGAATCTCATTCGCCTCGCCTATTATATCCAAAGCGTTTTAGAGTCTCTGAAAGCCGCAAGTCGTTTTTATTTGCTTTATCAGGTAATGACATAGTTATATTTTCTCAGGGGGTTAATCTTTATATTAGAGATTGACTTTTTACTAAATTTACTATTATTAAAACATTCTGCGACGTTTGCTGACTCAAGTTGTTATCAATCAAATTCAGTTCTAATGGAAACTCCATTTGAATGTTTAGTTCTATAAGACAAGTCAAAGAAAATAAGCTTATCGGAGTTTATTAAATTATTTTTATGCTTTCAGTGTTTACTACATTAATAAAATGTAACGTGTGCCAAAATTTGCTTTCAGTATTTTTCTGTATTCATAAAAATAGAACATGTGCCAAAAAAAAGTATTTTTGTGCCTTGAAATATATTTCAAGATACAAAATACCTTTTGTATTTTGAAACATATCTCGATTCTTGTGTGTAGCTGTCGCCTTGATGTCGGTAGAAAATCTGCCTTCATTTAGTCTACAATCCAACGAGGTGAATCGGCAGTATCCCTGGCTACCGGCAGTGTCTCCCATCCCGGAAACAGCTAAGGTGAGGGGGGAGGTGGGTGGTCAAACTAAAATCAGCCATACCATTCCTTAATGGCGTTCAATGTTTAGAAAAATCACCCTGACATGGAAACCGTAAAAGTACTGTAACACCATTACCAGACATTCTCCAATCAGTGAGAGAGTAGTAAGGCATGTAAGGTAGATTTCAAGTAACCAACCAACCAGCCCTGGAAACGAGGCTGCTATCTGAACATAACCACTCACAGCGTGTGATGTTTAGGATATTTATATATTACAACATACCTGGATGACTGCTGGTTCATTTAACTTTGTCTATGACGTGGACGATACATGATAAAACAATTGTATAAAGCAACATTGTATGTTTAGACGTTTTATTTTTTTCACATGATCTTTTTAGACTTTTTCTCAATGCCTAGTTGTACATTGGTTCTGTAAAACAGTCTGTCATTAAATGATTTGTTTCATGATGTTAGATTCATTTATTCTATTGACCTTAACCAAACGACTTCAATTGTAAACATTTGGATTACTAAGTCCATTGGAATCGTTTGATTGTTTAAAAATGAATAAAAATATGTTGTATAATTTATTTATTTGTAGTAGTTTAATATTTAGCATCCATTTTGTGCGCATTTTTTTAGAATCGTCAGCAAGAGAAAAACCCTGAAAATATTACATTTTACTATCTCATCTAATATGCATAAAACCTAATAAATATTCATAAGGTGGTTCTGTTCATAATTATAAATATAGATACATTTTCTTTGAATAATTTGATCACATGACCAGTATATACTGGCATGATGTTATTAATAATATATCTTTGGCGTACAAATCTTTGATCCCAGCTCAAGTGTTTATGATGTCAATAATCTCATCTATATATGCTACAGTAGTATTTATACATTCAACATGGAGATTACGTAACAAAATATATCTTATCTAGACAAAATTTACATATTTAATTATATTACATTTATTTACTAATATTGACAACTCTCTACGGGGCTCGGAAATATAAATACTGTTGTTTGCTCTGGATCGATAATGATAGATGTTACTATTTGTCGTAACAAATTGCATAAATCTCTCGGCGAAAGCCCTATTTTTAGTCAAAAGTTCACCATTATAGCGACGGTCGAAAAGCCGTTTCTACATATGGAAAACGTTCATTAATTTTGAACATGGACCGTAGACCATTTTCATATACATGTTCGGGTGATCCACTGCTGTAGACTGCGCCATCACTCGATAAATATCGCTTCCGACAAGTGTTTTTGGATTTTATCATATCGGAGCCTTGATAGAAATCATCATACCCACTGTCAGAATCGCTAAGCTGCTCCTCGTTCGGTACCACGGCATCTGTGAACGTACAGTCCTCAACGCAACTATCGTCACTCCTTGCTTCGTCGTCGTCGTCATCCGTCCATAACCTCTCCTCCTCCTCCCTAAATGATCTTAGGCTGCTGTATGTTTCTGATACTGGAGACGACTCTTCTTCACTTGTCTCCAAAATTACCTCTTCGTTCGATACTTCGACGCCGTCTTCGTAAACAAGGTAGATGTCAGAATGATGTTGGCTAAAAGATGACATTTCTAGAAGACAGACCATCGCTTCCCGAGGTTCAAGAAACCATTTCATATCCTCGTTGCCTGATCCTAAAACAAGTGGAGAATCTGACAAGGCCTTATAACTTATCTCATGATGTAAACTTTGGTCCAAAACATGTTGCGCCTCAAGAAAATAGTCCTATTTGGGGAAAAAAGGTTAAAAACTAATTATTAGTGAATACGATCGGTGGTTTTGTAATTCAATAAATTATTTGCTCTGAGTAAAGTTATTGAAACGTGATTAATTCACTTACTGAACAAATTAAGACAATTAACAATGTCTGGAATTATGGTATCTGTGCGATTGTTAATCTCAAAGTAAGAACTTGTAAATTCTATTTTATTAAGTCAAATCATTTGTCTTGGAATTTGGTATAAGTTTAATTAATCATTAATTGTTCAAGTTTTAACATCCACTTAATTAAAGTAATACCAATTATTTTGTAGCATTAAGTGTCGATTTTTTAAAAATTATAATGTTGAAATGTAATTCGTAAAAGATGTAAACTTAGGTAAGCCTACGTACCGTTAGAGAACGGGTGGAATTGTGTTTAACTCCATGTGTTGGTCCAGGAACAAACTGACCATTGCTGTTGTAAACGATATCCAATAAGCTCTTAAAACCTGCTCCACATTTAGGTAAAGAATCCAAAGCACGATGTTTCCACAAGCCAGTGAAAGGATCGAATTCGTATTGTGGTAATAGTTTCCAACCATACGTTGCAACTGCGTCCACAGCACACAAAATATAGTCGATTTCTTCATCCGATACAAAGAAAGGTAAATTAAGTCGAGCGAACCCGGGTCTGATAATCTCTGACGGCTTCTCGTTGTGTACGTCGAATCGATCTTCTCGTACGATCTCATAAAACTTTCTGGCGCTTTCTTCTGAGATACCAAGAAGATCCTAAAATCAGAATATAAAATGGTAGTGAATATATATAATTTCTTTATCTGTACCTGTGTGTTTTATTAGACAGTTAACATCATATAAATGGATATATTTTGATAAAGTGGCCTTTGATTTGGCAGAGTGCCTTATGGTTTAATTTAGAGCATACACCTCTTCTCCAGTACACTGCTGCCACAAATGTGACTCAAGCCAATGTTATTCATTTTATTTTCTTCTTTCATCAAAGAAAACCGTATTAGCCCAAAAGTGGAATATCCGGGAATAGGCGCAGGAATTATAATGACAACCAGCCTCTGGCACTACGACGAGATTCATTAAAGGAGGTCATATTGGTTCTTAATTAATGTTTTTTGACTTACGTGTGCGTATGGTCCTGCGCACGCACAGCCACCCCGAGCTTGTATGCCGTAGAGGTCGTTTAACAGCGCTGCGATGAAGTTGTGGTGTAGAGCTTTACCAGTTAGAGGGTGTCGTACTAAGAACGAAAATATTGGTAGTCTATCTGCTTCGGAATCTCCCAGAATTATCAAGTTCTCGTTTTTTGACCACCTTTCAAATGCTCGTCTGTGAAAACAAATCAATATTACTCAGCATAAAATAATTAAAGATCTCACTCCACATATTATGCAGAGAATACATGAATAGTATACCTTTAAATGTGCTGATAATTAATTTAAAGATATTCGCAGTATAATTTCTGTAATCAGCGAGAAATCAATCGTTTCGATATGAGTCATAAAAGTTTTTTTTTTATTAATGAACAATTCAATATATTATTCTAGACATTATGACAGGCGGTGTATCGTTTAATGATGTAGTTAAAAAATGCTTGTTAAATTTATATTATTGTTTGGTAGCCGCCAGGGCGCATGCTCGATATCATTTTGATTGACAAGCTCTGTTTCGACGGCTGTGAAAGTCATTGAATTCTCAATTGTAATATTTTTGGACGTCATCAGATAGCAACAGTTCAAGGTGAGTTTACATATTATTCAAGGGAATTTTTCGCATTCTGGTGACATCACACTGATTTCCGTCAACACTACGCTAAATACTCCAAAACACGTGCTTCATTCATGCCAAGTTTGCATTCCCAAGTTTTTGTTTTGATTTGACGTCAGTCTGTCTC